TAAATATTGTGAAAAATATGTTAACGTATATCATTTATACGACAATTATGAGAGATACGTTACATTATCCGCTCCATATGATAGAAAATTACATATGATGCAAATTTATAAGTGTAAGTGTTACTAGACCGGAGAAGGCGATAAAATGATAAAGACCAATAACACAATAGCGCGTACTTCAACTGGGTTAATGATGTCGTCTAACTAGAGAGGAATTTTATTGTTAATAAAAAATTATTATCACAGCACACATAAGAAAACTATAGTTACTTATGTTAAAAATAACCAAATCAGTTGCTCAGTTTATCTGAAGATTAAAAATATGTTTATTTCTACTTTTCTATCATATTTTTATCGGTTAAATAATTCTTCATATACATATATAACGAGCCATTCGCCTACCGAATTATCGTACCGGCTATAATTACTATTTTTAGTGACTATTTTTTTTATAGAATTTGATAAAGTGCAGAAAATTGTGAATATTTATAGTATTTGGTTATTAATAAATATCAAACAATAGGTACTGTAATTTCTTTAATATGCTGAACACATTTTTATCGCGTAAAGATTCCAAGATACATTACGCATGAATTTCATTAATGATATTCTGCGTTGTCGCGATTTAATTTAATAAAGATTTTGTTTTAAAATATTTTTTCAAATTTAACCTGAACCATATTTTATCAAATGTACAAACTGATCTGCATCCCACAAGTTGAGATCAAGAGGACAAATGCTGTGCGACACGAAGATCATAAATTCACTCAGGATTGAGGTATGAATAGCTGCTGGACGAAGAATGCACTATCGCTTATCGAGCAATGTTAATTATAATCCGTGCAATCGACACAAAGGTTATAACTTCAATATACAGAATCATATAACTCGATCAACCCATTATTCCCTTTACCCTTTGACCCAATGAAACAATTTAACTTATATTACCTTAGATAATTTAATATATCCAGAATATTTTACAAATTAATCACAACATATTTTTTATCAATTTTATTTTATTTTCGAAATTTAGCTTTAGCTGCAACTTTCTTGAATAGAAATAAGTAATCAGAAAAATTAAATTATACAGTTTACCCTGTATGTGCGCCAATGCATTCGGCGAACGAAAGCGATGTAGCAGAGGATGACGGCAACGACTACTAGTGATACGATGGCGATGATTTAATGTACATCGGTTTACGTGAACCATGACTTTTGTGCGGCACTGTGACCTCGCCACATTGAACCCGACGCAGGCACAAGTACCCGACTGTACAGGCCTTCAACGAAGGCAACTTGGTAGACAACAAGAACCATCGCTCTGAATTTTTCCGATATCTATTTATAAATAATTTTTTGAAAATTCTATCTCTTTTTAAATTCAAACTCAAACTTGGACTATTCCAACAATAAATATTGGAATGAGTTATGTAATTGGTCTTTGAAAAATTACTAGCCGTTTAAAATTTGAGTTTCGGATTAGAGAGCAATTTTTGCGCTTACTCGTTTTTTACTATGAAAACGACCGTACATTTCCTTTTTTATTTAACCGATAGAAAAGCGATATAAAAGTTTTGTCACGTAATTTTAACGTAAAAATGAATATCAAATTATTAATAAATATTCGAATATATTATAAACAAATGGCTGCATAATTTATAATATAAAAATTAAAATTTATTATAAAAAATAATGGAAATTTACAAGAAACAAAATGTTTTTTGTAAATCTTTATCTGATGAAAACTAAAAACATCTCGTATGGACGACTTGACATTTTGCACTTTCGTCGTATTTACGTAAAGCTAGTTACGAAATAAACGTACGAAATCGTCTGACTCGACGCGATAAGATCTTTCGAACTTCACCTTCTTTATATAAAATATATTTCGTTATCTTGGCATGTTCGTTTGAATGTTTGTAGGGACGTGGCGCAAAATCAATTTTACGAAAAATTGTTTTAATAATTATCAAATTTTTAGCAAAAATATAAATTCTGGTAAACTAATATGAAAGTGCAAGTTACGAAATAAAATAAGAAGTTTATTGATGAACAAAAAAAGGATTGTCAACGTTCCTGTAGTTTTGTCAGCTCAATAGGGACCAAACAAATGGGTGTCATAGTTTATCTTATTACATTGTGGTATTAAAAGCAAACGGTCCATTTGTATAGACACATGTATGATTCATATAAGATCCTGATACGACAACGCAACCAAAGTGTAATAATCTTTCGTTCTCATTGATATTTGAATTGTTTCTAATAGTTCACGATATACATATGCTTGTATTCTAGAATTCCGTACGATGTTTTACATAAGAATTATTGCGACTCAATATTACGTGTATAATAATTCTACAAACTAATTTTAAAAAATTTTAAATTTGCTTTGTCATATACATATTTCAATATGTAAAAGTGATTACGGAAATAGTTTCTCTATACTCATGTTATTTTTATATGTACATAGGTCGTCTGAAAAGTTTTGAGCCTCAATATGAAGATGGCATTACTCGTCAAAACAATTTTGGTACTATAATCGTACATACTTTGAAAGATACCTGCGAAAATTGTAGCTACTTCCGGCGCTTAGTTGTTGTTTGACAGTCATTTGTGCCAGTCAATGTCAATGTTTTTGTAAAAATGGAAAAAATCGAATATCAGCAGTCGCCATGATAAAAATTCACGAATTGCGGTTCGAATTAATTGACCATCCACCGTATTCACCAGATCTGGCCTCCAGCGACTTTTTTCTGTTTCCTAGGCTCAAAGTTTGGCTCGGAGGATAGAAATTTTCATCGAACGAGGTCATCGCATCCGTAGACGCTTATTTTGCAAAGCAAAACGCTCAGTATTATTTGAATGGATTAAAGAGGTGGGAGCATCGCTGAAAAAAATGTATCGACTTAAAAGGAGACTATGTCGAAAAATAAAATTAAATTTGACCGAAAAATTACTTGTTTCTATGTTAGGCTCAAAACTTTTCAGACGACCCTCGTATATATCAGAAAAATCAATAGTTTGTTTAGTCTTTTACCATTTTTACGTATCTATTTCTTTTAAATCAAAAAGTATGACAGTCGATGGGCATACCATAAATAAAAAACAATTTCTCTGAATCAAAAAAGTAATCGAAGGTGGTGGCTCGTCTTTAAACATCACGAAATGACACGCGCTGGAGTGACTCAGGAGACATGTGACGCAGCGAGCGAGTGTTTAAATAGAAATAATGGCGACCCTGACGATCGAGCCGATAAAATTCAACTGTTCGAAGGAATAGTCAAAGTGACCGTTACAGGTGCTAGCGATGCGTTTGTATTAGCACAGAATAGGATAATAGAACGACTTCTTATGATATCGTTAGCGAAATACTACTTGCCAGGAATGACGATACAACTTTCTATTTTTCCACGTAAGCAAGTTGTGACAATAAATAAAGCGGTGTTTTTAAAGCACTGTGTCAAAATAAAATAGATAAATGACCGTATTTTTTATATGTAAAAATTACGTACAAATATATATGCGAAAATACTGATATGTAACGGCCTCCTGAATAACTCCTATGAAACGCATATTTTGACATATTGCTTGTATAGTATTCAAGATAACTGAAGTATTCCTATAAAGTGTTATAATCAGCAGCATCAAGATGCGCCATGTATTCAAAAGCTGAGACTGGGCTTGTTATCTTTATAATTATTGTGCGGTATTGATACGGAATTGATTGTCGTAGCAATATCTACGTAATATAATTATCTACCACAAACCGCAAATAAATGCAGTTGATCATAAACGGTCATTACGCTCGCACAGGTGATGAAGAGAAAACCTCAACAACTATTATCGTAAATTAAATTAGTAGAAGATACGATTGGATTAATAATTATCATAATAATAAATTCTGTATAAAACTAAGTTTACGAATGCAATTTTATAATTTGTCAGAAAACATAATATCTTCAAAAGCCCAACTTCTCGAGACCGATTTATAAGAACGGATTCTTTTTTTTAACTCATTTCATAATCGTAATGAAGTTAAACTAGTTAATACATTCTGTAATAAAATCTTTCTTTAATAAAATCAGTTTGTTGATGATTAAATACAAAAAAATTAATTACGGTGATTTCTCAACAATATTACTCAAAAATAGCTGAAGAGAAACTTATGAGAGATGCAACTTGTCGTTTTTATATTTTACAAGTATGAAGCAATTAAACAGCGCGCTTCTTAATCCTAGATTACTACCTTTATGATATTGAATTGTAGTCACACATATGTAATTCAGAATATAAAATTCTCAAGAAACGTGACTTGTGCAAAATGTTAACATTGTGCTCAAATTAAGTACACGACTGTTAAAATTAAGCACTTTCGTTTAGCGCAAAACTTTTTATATATTTCCCAAGATAATAACCTATAAGATTTAAAAAACAATCATTACATGCAATTATATATTTCTAATTAGTTTCAAAATAACAATCGCGGAATAACATGTTACAAGTTGTCATTACTAGCATAACGTCGAAAGATGTCGGAAGGAAATTCGCGACGGATGCAACGAAGCTGAATGCAACTGATGGCTGTATCAGTCGGCAATATGCATATACCGGTGGGCGTTATCGCAAAACCAGGGGCAGCGTTATCACTCTGATATCCAACATATATACATCCTTCACGACCGGCCCCTGGCCTCCAGTGACTCGCGGACCACCGGCTCAGTTGAGCGCTTTAGTGACACTGTGTACATGCTCTCTTTTGCATCTCGAAGCACGTTCGGAGATGCTTGCCTGCGATCACAAGCTGATCGATCGATCACGCGCCGTCAAGCGTCGCCGAATTCGAACAGCATTCGATCGATTCAAAGAGAGAGAGAGAGAGAGAGAGAGGGAGAGAGGGAGAGAGAGAGAATCCTTTTTCTCGACTACCCTCTCTGAGCACGCGAGACCGCGAAACACCGCCGCACCGCGAAAGGTGGAAGTGGTACTATACTGGTACTCACCGTATTCGCGGTGCCGGTATTTGGCCACAGGTTTGCCATCGTCGTCGCTCCTCCTCTTCATCTCGTGATTATAGTAGTTTTCTTGAGATCACTTGGTGCTTATCCTTCGTTGCGTTCCCGCTTCTAGTTTGACAGCTGCTTTTCAATCTGGAATTCGCACTATAAGAGAGACTTGGCACTTTACTCGACGAGGATGACTGCGACTACGACATTCTCACCTACGGAGGATTCACGCGTTGTCCTTTCGTTGCCGCGCACGGAAGATGAGAAGAGCGATCGAGAGATGCTGTGTGTACACCGCGATCGGCGACTAGACGAAAATTAAGATCCGGACTTTTGCTGGCTGTACGAGAACTCGCGCCACTGCTCTATGATCGGGAGCGAGGCTCATGTATATCATGTACATAGAGCAAACGAAGCAAGAGGAGGAAAAGAGTTGGAATGAAAGGTAGAGGAACAGAGCTAGAGAAAAGACGGTAAAACAAAAGGGGAAAAGAAACAGAAGGAGAATAAACGAGAGAGACGGAAAATGAGCGAGCAATTGCGGCCTCAGCGGATGGCCGAAGCGATCGGAGTTCCTAGCGAGCTGCCCGAGTGAACGAAGGCGAGACGAAGATACCGCGAGAACGAATGCACAGACAAGGAAAGATGAAGAGGGGGAGTGAATAGGTCGAAGAGTAGGACGAGAACGAGAGCGAGAAAGAGAGGAAAAGAGAGCGCGAGAGAGAGAGAGAGAGAAAGAATAGGGGTAAAATAGAACAGAGAAAGAAAGAGAGAGAATGACCAATTCGAACTGTGATCGCAAGCGGAGTGGTGATTCAAGAGGGGAGAGTCGGTGCCCCTCATGCGGTGGTAGGAGCAGCGCGAATCATGTTGGGGAAAAGTATGGGAGTAGTAAAATCGCCACGCGGCGTGGCACGGTGGTTATTATCGCGCGAGTTCTATACCCATCTACGCGCGACGTTTTCTTATCAGTGCGAGAGGAGGGCTGGCTAGTGACCACCTCCTACCCCTTCTTCTTTTCAGACTCGAGGCATCGAGGCCGACTTCTGTGCATTACTTCGCGCTACATGTACATACATTCGTCGGAATTTATATATACGTGGGAATGTAATTTTAATTTATTGCGTTCTTATTAGCTACGCGTTTACTATACTTTTTTTAATTAACTAATCGCAATCAATCCAAATATCCCTATTGTCGTAATCACGTATTATTTGCTGAATTTTCTTATTAAAGCACGTGCAAATTTTTAAGCACAAGCTTTAAATCCGACTAGATAGAAAAATATATTGTATAAAAAGATTTCTATGAAATAAAACTAATTACAGTTTAACTACATTAAATTTTGCTATATCTTATTCCAACATTTTAAAAATGTGTATAGCTTTTATTTGTGTACATACTATATTATGCACATTTTAGTATGTAATTCATATATGTATATTTATCTTATTCTAGCCCTCTGAGAATAGTTCGCCTCCAAGAATTTTCTAAATAATAAAACAAAATTAAAAGAATATTATATACATAGCGAAGGTCTATAGTACATAAAGAAAGGGAAGAGTGTTTACAGGATCGGCAAAGCTAAAGCGTAAGCAAACGGCTTGGCAACTGTTTCGAGAGTGCCAGGTTACAGATACTCGGCTGTCAAGGACAAGCCTGTCCATTCATTCGTCCGTTCTTATGATCGATCATTCGTTCATTCATTTATTCGCCAATTGATTATTACTAAGCTACACGTTATTTTTATGTACACAAGTATTTATAATTTTATCAAGACATTTTAGATATTTTACTTCGAACTAACTGCGACTTTGCCATTAAATGCAGTAAAAGCGCGTATCTAAAACCTCTAAATCAAATGGTGACTGTAATAAATGTCAAAATCCATTCCTGACTATATGCAAGTATAATATGATAATCCCCCAAGACTTTTACTCGGCATATCTGATATTACTATGCTATATATTACTAAATGATACAACGTTGGTTATCGTGTTTTACACTACTCGTATATTCTTACTCTATCAATTAGAAGCACCAAATCAATGTTCTAATTGCTATATTAGATAGTACAAAATTCATATCATAATGAGTAATTGATTACGTAATAAAATATGATAAATGTTCACTCACCAGAGTCGTTGTACACTAAATACGCTAATACTGCAATTATACCTAAAAAAAATAATAAATAATTACATATTTATTATTTTTTTTTTTAGGTATAATAATTAATAAATAATTTTACTCACCAGTTAATGTATTGCAGTATGCTTCGTTCGTTGCAGAATCCGTTTTAAAATCTCTATCATTTCTATCAATTTTATCGAGGAAATAATAAATTACCGTTGATTATTTATGTATAACTTTGGCAAAAAATGATTGCTCCCGACAACACATACAGGCATGTGTAAATACTGCTAATTTCTACACAGCACACACACATACAGTACAAATATTGCTACTCGCACAGCACACTTCGAGGGAATTATGACGTCGCGTGACAAAATATCTATACGACGTCTATACATATCGCGACATTCCTTAGATGCGGTGTGTTTTGTGGATACTATATATAATAAAATATTAAGTATTTTAATTAACTCAATTAATCTGTAGGAAATTTATTATACAAATAATATTATAAAATATATATAAAATTTGTATTTATATATTGCGTTGTATTTATATATTAGTATGTACAATTGCATTTTTACAGACGATACATTATAATGTAACAAGGTATGGTCGCACGGAGTTCACTTGACGAAACTGTCTCTCATTCGACAATCGTATTGTCGAACATCGTATTATTGCGTTATATTGTATTCAGTGACAAATTTTTCATCAGTCATTGTAGGTACTCGCGATATAATAATAATGATTTGACTCTTTTGGCAATGTTACATTTAATGAAAAGTTTTACATGATTTTCTTGAAAGATAGTAAAAAGAACATAAGCATTATTTTCGCGTCGCTATGTATTAAAATCTGTACTCACTGCAACTGTAATAGTTTCAAACCAACGTCAGAAGCAATACGTCAACGAAACCGTAGCGATGGTGAACACTTGCGCAATTGATACATTTGGAAGATCATTCGTCATTTTAATCAACACTTCCGTCACGAATTCATGCTCACTGTGCACTTTTAACGGACAAAATTTGCGATATATTGCGAAGCGATAATCTCTAACATTATGTATTTCGAACCGATACTTTCAAATAAGAATTATATGCTCTCTGCACGCTTTTCTTAACAAATTATGATAATTAACGACGCTTCATTTGACCAATTTTTATAAATATTTAAGCAAATATGTAAAAATGGAAAATTATAAACGTAAAAAAGAAAGAGGCAATTATTTTTTTCTTATTCAAGCTTCAAATTGGCACATCCATTCTATCTAAATAATTGTAATGACGTTATTAGAGAAATGTATGTATCCAAAAATTTACCGAATAGAATAATACTATATATACATATATATATATATAGGGGAGAGTAGTCTAAATCGGACCTATTTGCAGTTTTTGCTCTCTATAAGGCATAAATAAAGTCCGATCGTAAAATCGAAGGTGCTGTTGGAAAGATCATTTAATTCCCTTCATT